AAAAGTACATGAAAAACTTTCAACTGTTTTAGTCTGAATATATCCAGAAATAAAAGCATCACAGAGAAAGAGTATTCATAAAAGAAATAGTAGTAAAAGAGAAAAATATCTTGCAATACTAAGGGCTTCTAGTAGCACTTTTCCTCTGTTTGAGTGTAGGTGCTAAAATTATGTGCTATATTGAAAACAGCTCAACTGCCTGAATGCAATCTGCTAGTAAGAGCAGATTTCTCCGTGCCCCAGGCTGAAATAATGAGATAAGAGTTTTGCAATTACTTTACTATCCATTAGAGGTAAATCTAACCAGTGAAGGTTATTAACATCTTAGAAATTGTCCTTTAAAAGCCAGTGGTTCAGTAGAAATTTGAGAGTGGAAATGCTGATGCCCTAAGAGGTGCTGAGGACTTGACCTTAGCTAATGGACGGTTACAGGGATGAACTGGCCTGGGTTGTGAAAGCTGATGGCTGCTTGGCTGCCATGACTCTGAGATAGTGAAACTTTCAATTGTGTAAGAAGCAGCAAGGTAAACAGAACCACAACCTTGGCCTTCAGGAGAGAAGATGATGGCTTGCTCAGGGATCTGTTTGTCAGGATCTCACAGGAAGCTGTCCTGGAAAGCAAAAGGACCCAGGAGAGCTGGCTGACCTTCTTTAATATCCTTCTCAGAGCACAGAAAAAGTCCATTCTGATATGTGGGTAGTTGAGCAAGTGTGGCAGGCAGCCAGTGTGCATGAACGGGGCTCTCCTGCCTGAGTTCAGAGAGTAATCAAGCACACAGATGGAGCAAAATAGGGATGTTACTGGAGTGAGCATGGAAGCATTCACTAAAGACAAAGACCTGCAGGAGTTAAAGCTCATACAAGACTCCAAGGGTATAAAGAAGGGCTTCTGTAAGTACACTGGTACAGAAACAAATATGTGATCCTGCTGCTCAGGGGGCCAAGTGATTGTTCCCCTCTGTTTGGCACGTGTGGGACTGCAGCTGGAGTGAGACTGCATCTTGAGCATCATGTTCAACTTCGGGCTCCCCAGCACAAGATAAGATATGGACAAACTGGAGCAAGTCCAGGTTTTGATGTGCAGCCAAGGCTGCCATCAGCGTTCACAGCCCAAAAGAGTTTATCCCTGTTAGTGAGTCAAGTAACTCAGTTGAACGTATAATGAACCAAACAAAACATAGCAGTGCATGGCATACAGGCCAGATAAGATGATATTTTGTGAATCTGAAAGAAAAAAAAATACAACAGAGAAGAACATATAATTTTTCTTACCAAGAATGAGAGACCTGAAAATTTTTTATCATCAGCCTGCCCCTTTAGTGCACCAATGTAGCAACTTAATGCCTGAATGAAATAATTTGGGAAAAAAATGAGAGATACTGATCATCTTCCCGGTTATGACTTGGAAACTACGTTCCTGAAATGAATGTTTGCACTGTGTGGCAGCAAGCAAGAGTGTAAGGGAGGTGGAGGAGATAGCTGTAGTGCTGTAGAAGCTCTGAGTTCAGCGGGATACTGAAGTTCCCTCTGTACTTGTCATATTAACAGTGATGAAAGAATAGCTTGTGCTTAGAGACACTGCCTAGTTCACTTCCACATATTAAAGCTCTAAATAAAGATTTGTATCCTAGGATCTGTTAAAAACATTGAGGCTATTATAAGAAAATATACTTTATTAAATACAAAATATTTTCTCTCTGTAATCAAAAATCATATAGACAGGATTTATACAGATATCTGTACATTTTTATAAATTAATGTACATATGTTCGTATTTCTCAGCTCTATTTTTTCTATGACATTTGCAGCATGATGTAACATGTCCAAGTTTTCACAATGTAAAATTAGACAAAGCTCCCAAAATTTTACTGTAAAAGTTAAATACATCAACTGTTTTCCCCCATCTACAGATCTTCAGCATCTTTTTCTGACTCAGAAGTTGTGAACTTACGTAAGTGCCTCCTCACTCCTCTGAAAGATGTCACCAACCTCTTCTCACTTCTATTTTCTGTCAAAAACCTTCCACCCAGTCATCTAAAGGCTTAAAGTCAGTAAGAATGCAGTATTCAGCTCAGGTACAATCACCCAACAAACTTTTTTTTATCTCTGCCACTAATTCTACCACACTTTTCATTTGCATCCCTCAAGTACAGGACTGTCAGCATAGTGACCTGCCTTACTTCCTCCAGCTGGACACTGAAAATAAAGATCCAGATGGTTCGCTTGTCGCAGACTGCATTCCTTGTCTCAGACTTCCCAGATCTGTTGGACAGCAAACTGCTGCCTGCTACACATTTCATCCTCCCATGATACTATAGCTGGAGTTTCCTAACAAAGTAAACCTGAATTCAAGACTCCAAGATCTAGAAGCCTAGAGGACCAATGATGTACACCACAGCTCCAGTCTAAAGGCCTGAATTCATTCAATATTTTTCTTCTAAAATCTGGGTGGGTAACTTTTGAGTTGGCAGTCTGTTACATTCTGCCTGTGCTGCAATCCCACTACCTCTCCTGCTGCTATCTGTAATTTTACCCTACCTTTTAGGCTGACCAGTGAAACTGCTCTGGCTAGGCATTTTTTCAGCTTCTTGAAAGTTTCTGTGGGCAGTGGATTCTTTTCCTTTGAAGGCCAATACTGCTGATCTGATGCCACTACTGCTGGAAAAAATGCCTGGCCTGCCATAAGGAAATAGCCAGAGCCAGATCTGGAGGTTATGAGAGCCACATATTTGCTTATCTGCAATGTCTGGCTTATGCTAGATAAAAATCTGTATTTATTGATCTCTGCAAAAAGCTAATGTGCAGAATCCCTTAACTAATGTGCAGAATCCCTTAGCTGGGAACTTCTGTAATGCCATGCACTGCAACACTGCAGTGTAGGCAACTCAGCATGGGTACTACTATAAAGAGTCTTCCTGAAAAAAAACACCAAGGGCCTTGGAACACAGCCAGACTCCAGGAGCTTGGAAAGAGTTGACTACAGGATTTGAGGTGCTTCTGAAAGCTCCAGCCTCTCTCCTGACCTCTCTCCCTTTTGATCAATGTCTTCCTCCTCCCAAATGACAGAAGATGAGCTTAGCGTGAACCTGCAAGAACAATGCCCTACTCAGAAGTTCAGCACCTGAGTGATGACTCTTGGCACAAACCTGAGTCTCACAGAAGCATCAAAAAGGTCACTACTGTCATTAGGGTTCACTGGAAGACATCAAGAGTGCATTACCTGCAGACTGTATATAATCAAAGGATGGGTGTCATTAAGGTCCCTGGCTTCTCTTGAAACTCTTCAGTGGAAAAAACTGTTCCAGCCACACATTTATGGGAGAACAGCCCAGTGAAAGAAGGTTAGAAACAAATAAAAGAATAAAATCCAGGTCCAGCACAATTGCCTTTTTGAGGAAGAAACAGAACTAAAAGCAAGAGCCAGAACCAGCAGAGTTCTGCTCAAAAATCCCAATATGCAATGGGGCTACCATGAGCAAGTTACATGAAAAGGCACCGGAAGTTGAGCCATTCAAAGTAAAATAATGAACAGGACCTTACTGAATACTGAGACAGAACAGACACCCTTTTGATTTCATTTGTACATACATACCAGCAATAAATTTCACCTGTACAGCACTTGGGTAATAGAAGCCATTATGGCCAAAACAAATGCCTCTAAATCCTCAGTCACTCTCATTAAAATGTAAAAAAAAAGCCAAGCAAGAAACATCAGGAAACTAAAAAAATTAATCTGCTTGTCAGTCTTTTCTATTTGTCTTTTCTTTTCTGAGGAGATGCCCCAGTTTTACATGAAACACACACTTAAGGACTATCTCAGAGATTTATGAACAGGACAGAACTCTAGTAAAAAAGACAAGTCTACTTCTCATATGCTCCTTTTACTTCCCAAGGTGGCTGCCAGTCTAAACAGGAGCAAGATTTTCATTTGAGAAAATATATCCATAAATTAAAGACCAGGGTGTTTTTTTTTTTTTACTTCTTGGTTGGTGATACTAGTTTTGTTTTGTTTTAAAGAATACACATTTGAGGAGCATATCTGATCTGGAGTGGTTATTAAAGTTCAAATAAGAAAACACAAACAAAAGTAACAGCTTGAGTTTAGACAGCAGGCAAACGAGATGTGAAGATCTCTAAAGCCACATAGTCTTGCCATTGCTTCCAGAATAGTGAGGCAAATAGCCAAAAAAAAATAAAAAAGAAAAAAAAAATGTATTAATTTACTACAGGAACCTGCTCATTAGCAATGATGAAAATGTGTTTGGGGAGGATTTACTTGATCTTTTAAAAACAGTCACAGAAGCCTTTAAATTAAGTTCCAAAAAAAAAAATTTCTGTCTCTAAGTTTGCCTCACAAGAGTACCACTGTTCTGCCCTTGCAATTCTTATGTAAGATTTTGTGTGAACATGTCTCTAAAACTATTTTTTCGTGAAGGAAGCAGGAAATCTATGGAATGTATATGAAGATCTGAAAGGGAATTAACAGCTACAATCTTACTTAGTCCTATATCATTTTACATTATATGGATTCCAGTTTAATTCTTCTGTACCATCACATGGCCGACTGCTTTTGGCCCCATAAAAACCTGCTTCTGCTAGATGCAGTTTTAATTTAGGAGCTGTATTTATATTTCATAATGTAACATAATCTAAGTTTATTTTCTCTGTAGCTTATCTCTTCATGTATGAAAATGACATCCTCCTACCATACTCCTTAGCGTTTTGTCTTTTACCATCACAGGAGAACCAACATCTCCTTGCCCATCATCTCCACACCCCACCGCCTCCTCCAAGCATTTCTTCAAGACTTAACTCCTCAAAAGTGTGGCCTAGTAGCTTAAAAATAACCATTCTGCTACCTATTGGGTGAAAAAAATGCCAGAGTCCAGCCTCATTCATCCTGAATATACACTTTCACGAAAAAGGTATGCAGTAGCATAGAATATAGCAAAACTACATCAAATGTGGAATTAGAAAAATTAGTACGTTTTCTAAAGCAGTGGAAAGAGACAAGTGATTTATTTAAACTGTAGAGATCAAATAAACTAAAAAGAAAGAATGTAACACCTACAATGGATCCAGTGAAAATCAACTGTTAATGAAATAGCGACTAGCCATTGTCAGAACTTTGTGGACTATGTTTTCTTCCACAAGGCAATAAACTTCTCAGTAATTCCCTGAATATGTGACTTTGCCAGGTGGCCTCCAGGGAGGACTCATTTCATTCCCATGGACAGACTGCAACTTCCTTTGCTTCTTCTCAAGCTCCTCTCTCCTCTCTTTGTTTTCCTGAGAATAAAAAGATACGTCAAAAAAAGCCCAAACCAAAACCAAACAAAAAAAACCCCTACAAAAAACAACTCCACTAACAGAAAAGTTACAATTATTGTTATACCTTTCTCGTGTAAAATGAAAAGTAAACATGCAATAGAGATTTGCCTTTTGGAGCAGTGCCTCAGTCACAGACATTGCACAATGTAATACAAGCAGCTGCACACTGGGTGTTATTTACAGCTAAGGTTTTGTGCACCAACTAAACAAAAACCCAAGTGAAGAGCTAGTGGATCAGGTACTGTATTGGTCTTGTATATAATTAGTTTCATATTAATTACTTACTGTCTTGAAGAGGATACCTAAATCACAATGCTAAGTATGTTGTTCTCATGTAACATTGACGCAACATTGTAACTTTTTGTATTTATTAAATCACACTTGCCATGTACTAGAACAAACTAGTAATTAAACAATTTAATTTTAAACATAGATCTATCTAAAATATTATAAGCGCTGCAAGGTTCTAATTCCATTTTCTATTGTTTCAGACAGCAATGGGCAATCAGGACGATGAAGGATAAGCAAGATATTTGCAACATTCTTTTTGTGTCTAAATAACTAATGAATTTCAGGAGACTTGACATTCTATATAAAATAAGCATTCTTCTTTGCAAATGACTGCCATTTCACCATGGTGAGGACCAGCATCTAAGGGTGCATCTGCATTAGCAATTCAGTACACTGGTGAGCTGGTGTAAATTTTCCTTATAATCACACTTGCAGATTTGTGGTGCATGTTGGTGCACATTTCTGACTGACTTGAAGTAGTAGGTTGACATTTTAGACCACAGCATAACTTACTGTGCCCCACTTGCTGGGTGGCTAAGAGGTCCTCGAGCAGCTGGCTTTTGGACATATGAACTGGCATACACATCATAAGTAGCAGACATGCAGTGTGGATATGCCCGCTTAAAATCATCGTGCCAAATCCAATCTCGGTCCTTTCATCTGTTGCAGCCCATCAGCCAGTATTGTGAAGCACCATAAAAGTGCTGTATTAGTTTTGTATTTTCACATGTATGAACTGCATTGCAGTGAAAGTACTGCTCCTTGAAGACAGCTGTAAGATAACTGGTGCTCTCATATAACCCATGATCCCATCCTTCTGATGGATACTGTACGTTCCCAAATCCTCAAGATGCTAGCAGTGTTTGCCTGTTATTCATATGTGAGAAGAGAAACAGTGATGTGACTGTGGCTGAGAGAGTAGACAGGTAAATGAATGTAGAAGCATTACTGTAAAAAAGGGAGCTTGAGTGGAAGTTTATTCCTATTTTACACATATGCAGCAGTCAAACTACCAATGTGTACAAAATTTTTAAAAAGCATAACATGTACTGAAATATCAACCCTGTGATTTTAATCTGTGCCCTTTAGTTCTCTGTCAGTGTAAATCTGAAGATCCAATTGAGTCAGGAACATCTGGTCTAGCTAAACAGACAATTATTTCATGTTGTTACTAGTAAGGTTGATTAAAAGCAAGGCAAAGTTTGTGAGGAAAAGGAATGCCCTTTGCTAGAATAAGTGATTCAAAAGTTCATCACAGTTAGTCTAATAAAAAAAATTATCTCTCTGTACAAACTGTATCTTTCTGGATTACATGGAGTAATGGAGAAAAACTGGGCTTGTAGCATTGTGAGATTCTGACTTTTCTCATCCTATACTTTTGCCTTCTTTCTCCTTCCATAGAAATCTTCCTCAGATGAGCACAACTAGTGGCTTTGGGTCTTTAGAACAAATTCATGATATTCTGAAATTCTTGAAGTGAACTGTTTAGTTCCCTAAGAGGAAAGGAGTCTGCATTATCAGTGGTATTTTTCAAAAAAGACAAGATATGTCAAGCAGTACAGATGAGCTTGTGAAGAATATACTCTAATGGAACACATATATGATACATGCTCCTGTTTGGGAATTTTTGCATATATCCAGTCAATTTCTTTTTACAAAATCATAGAATCACAGAATCATAATCTATGAGGCTATGTGTACCCTCAGGACATGTAGATAAAAACTCATTAAAAATAAGACCTATTGCAGCAGTACTGGCAATTATTTGAGCAATCATATGTTACAAAAAAAGTGCATATTTAATGTTTGTCAAGCACTCTTTACTGAATACATGTGGACAATAGACTCCTGTATGAAAAGCCCAAATGAAAAATAAAGCAAACATCCACCCAGGAAGAGAACAAAAGTTGCTTTGGATTTTTTAATTGTGTCTCAGTGTTGAATGTTTGGGTTTGAAGATCCAGTTTTCATTCATGAATCCCAGTGCCAAGAAAAGAATCTCGAGCTAATTTAACTGTTTTTTAAAAGATTAAATTTGACATCAAGACTTACTGGCTTCTTCCCTGTCTTCAACACACACAAAGCTTTTTATGTTCTAGTCCTAATCACAGTGCACATTCTCACAAGATATAACTGATATAAATCTTCCATAAAATAATAAACAAGATGTTATTTGCACTAACAGAAGAACAGTAACAGAAACAGTGAAAGACTAAATCAATAACTGTAGCTCATCATACATTAGATCAACTCAACTGCATGGCTTGATTTCTGTGGAAGTTTTCTACTCAATAGCCTAGTAAGATGAGTACATTTTTCACCTACCAAATTCTGGGAAGACCACATTCTTTAGCAGTATGACAGCCACATAATAATTGAATTTTAGATATTAGAGAAGACGTACAACATTTAAGAGCAGTAACAATAGCAGCCTTATTTCTAACATACTGCAGTACCTGGACATAAAAATTCCAGTACAGAAAGTATTTTCAGAGAGATCTTATTAAATCACACAAAATGAATAACCCACATCAGCTGTTCCTAACCCAGAAAAGCAATAAATCCATGAGACTCATCTGGTACATCTTTTCTTAATATTTTTAAACAGCTTTAGAATGCTAAAAATAGATGTTGTATATGCTCAACCTCAAGGGTTGTTGTATATGCTCAACCTTCAAACTTCCTCTACGGTATTTATGGTATGTTGATCTTTGAGAATCATTTGTGAGCAGCCTTACTTCTCGTCAACTCATACTATGTTAATGTATAGCACAGAAAACAGACAACATAACATATCCAGGCTACTCACTTTTATCCACAGTAAACAGGTATCAAATTGATATCTCAGAAATAAATGAAAACTAAACTCATCTGTCATTATAAACTTCCAATGCAATTCTTCTCCACATTTCACTCCTCAAACAGGTGCATGTCAGTAACAAGTGTCAGACACTGGTATTATGCATTAAGTAAAAACTTATCATTTATCAGGCTAGATTGGCTTGAAGAGTTCTTGGTGAGTACCAAGAGGCAAACAGTAGGAAAGAAACAAAATAATCAGAAGCTTAAATTTCCCAGGCAATACTAAAGCATCTCAGCTCAAGATTATCCTTTTTGTGTTAAGATTGTACAAGTGTTAATAACCTTTTTTAGGGCATTTATTTTCAGGCTTAAAAAGTAATCTTCTCTATGCAATGTATGTTATCAAACATTCACACAATGATCTCTAAAAGCAGAAGTAACACAATTTCCATTAATACAAAAGCAGAATGTTTCTTCTATTTAAGAAGAACTACAAGCAGATTTTTATGTCTTTTTTACCCATGCATTATGGTCAACACTTAGTTCAGGAAACCCAAGGATGAATTTAAACACATTTATTTCTGTTGAATATCAGTGAAAACATATTAGAATACCTCCCACTATACTACTCCTATTTTATTTCCCTTCGAACCAAAACCTCCTTAGTTGAAAGAATACACTTAAAAGGCCTCCACAATTCTGCCTTCAGATCTGATTCCTGTTTTATCTACCTGCAGGCAGATATCATCTTAGTTCCCTTGACAACTTTAATTCCCAATGACAACTTTACAGTGTTTCCTTTCTGCAGTTCACTAAAGGTGTATATTTTTTCTATAACTGTACAAAGTGAGATGATATTCTGGTCAAACATGATGACAGAGCTATTGCCCAATATGTTTTCTGAAATAAAGGTGTCTACGCTGAAAAAAGCCAGCACAAATTCTGAAAGTAAAAACATAAAGATCGGGCATGAGACACATCAGTCAACACCTGCACACAGACACTGAAAATGAGATCATTTTAGAGGTACCTCTGCCAACCAGGTCAGTATCTATCCCATTCTCCTGCATCTGCTTATTTTTCAAAGTGCTCCTCTCACGTAGGCACTTGTATATCCAGTTAGATCTGGTCATTCCTCCAACTACTAACGTTCATATTAATAATCCCATTGAAGTGGTGACCTCAGGAATTTATATACAATTTGAACAGGGGAGTCTGTGCTAGGCAGCATCTTTCATTCCTCAAAAAAAGGATAATATTTTTACCCTTGTACAGAGTCCAAGACAGCACAGTAACATTCAGGCTTTGATACAACTACACTGATTAGGATAGTACCAGTAAGCAGAGCATAGAGGACAGTGCATTAGTTACTGCTTAAAAAGAGCACTTCCTTCCTTGGCAACCAGGAATACTGACTAAGCAAGAAATAATCTAAGATTGGACATTAATAATTTGACTAAACTGAGCTGGAAACCACTTGACAAAGAGGACTAGAGAAAATAATTCTTACCAATGATTACAGAAATCAGAGGTATTACAACAGGGACCAGGTCAAAGACCTTAACAGATCTAAACCTCAGACTAAAAACATATGAAAACAGATAAGAGAGAACATGCAGGCTCTTGCTGTTTTATGCAACTGTGTATTTCTGAGTTAGCCAAGTAAAGGATGACTGTCCTTTTTAAACCTGTCCAACATCCGTACACCTGCCTGCCTCAATTCTCATTTCTCTGCCTCCTCATTCCTCAAAAAACAAACAAACAAACAAACAAACAAACAAATAAAAGATTTTTTTAGCCATTGACAGTACAAAGAAATTCCTGTAAGGACCTTAAGCCAGATGAGTTGCAAGATCTCACTCTTACAAATGACAATAGAGACCATATGTACAGGATGTGTGCCAGAAATCACATGGAAGAGAGAAAACAGAAGAAACGCTCTCAAACTAAGAAAACCTTGAGAGTCAGTACGAGGAATGACTGTGTCACAGGGTGAGGAATTAAAACACAGGTTTTTCTTTAAATAGCAAGTCACATACCTTCAAGAAAACAATATATGCTAAGAATATTAGTGATCTCTCTTCTAGTTTGTCTTTCTGTAGCAAGGGAAAAAACAAGTTAGTCCCTGCCTAACTGTTGGGACTAGAGTAATAGATTAGTTTACCGCTTAACTATTGAGACTAAAGGACACTGTTGTGGGAAAAATATAATTGGGAGCATCAGAATTCCACTCTTTCTTGTAATAATAATTTTGAACATCATTAAAGTGCTTTTACCAGCTGTAGGTATACAAGTCTCCACTTTCAATGCTTCCTTGAATGTACATGCACTCACTGTTGCAGCCGGGGATGCTGTTTGGCTTTGCAGGTTTTGTGCTGTGGTGAGTTGGCCCTTCAGAGATGGTTGCCTCTGACGTGAAATGGCAAAAAATCAAGAGTAACTATGAAATAGAAAACTCTGTAACATGTACGTAGGGAGAATATATTTTCCATGTCTGCCAAATATCAAGTCCACCGTACTTTACCATCATTTTGCTCACGAATTCTGGAGGACAAGCTATGCAATGTTGCCACCGTCTGGCCTTTCTAATAACAGCATGAAAACTCATAAGTATCACAATACACAACTGTTCACACTCATTACTACATTAAACTTTTTGGTTTTGACAAAGTGCAAAAAAAATCCCCAAACAAACATACCAGCCATCTTTCATATTCCTCCATAGCCTTTTCATTTTTTTCTTCCTTCTTTGCCTGTTGCATTTCTTGCTTTTTCCTCTCTAGGAATTTTTCTACTTTCTTCTTTTTTATATATTCTTCCTTCTTTTCATTCCTGTATAATGAGAGGGAAGAACAAGAGATCATCATGTAACAGACTAAATGCTGTTGTTGATTAACTAAATTGAGTCAAGAGATATTTTATACTTTTAATAAAAGTTTGAGAATATATATTTAAAATCTTCCCAGTCCATTTTGATATATCACCAAGGTATAAATGAACCTACCACTCTATCTGTTATGGCATCACCTTTTCTTTACTGCTTTTCCCTTATTCAGTATCACAAAATAACCCTTAGATTCTGAACTTCTGTAGGTAACTGTAAGTTGCACGCGGTCTGTGAAAACTCTTGGCTTATAAAACTAACACAGAATTTCTCCAGCAGATACACCTCATTTCTTTCCTTCCTGCGTACATCTGCATTCATACATTGTATTTCACAAAACTTAAAGATTTACTTACCTTCCTGTGGCTTAGTAATGAAGCATGAAACTAACCACATAAGACATTATACTCAGTCAATCTTACGTCTCCGTTGCAGTATCTCTGACTGGGCTTAGTTAGTAGCTTTTTGGGGAGGAAAGCAATTAAATTACTAAACTGAAAGGAGCTGTACAGCTTGCTTTCACTGTTATACTTATTCTCCATTGGGACTGAAGAGTCTGATCCCAAGCATGCCATTGTCTTACAACTACAAGCACATCAAGCACTCACAGAAGACCTATTACATTTGTACGTGAAGACTTTGGAAGCTATGATACAGGAAAACCCAGTGGAGTAGTACCATTTTTCAACTGCTGATATGCTGATTCTCCTCTTCTCTGCAATCAGTTCCTCTTCTTTCTCCTTCCTGATTCTTTCAGATTCTTTTTCCTTTCTGCTTTGCTCTCTTAAATATTCCACTTTTTTTTCTTTCCATCTCTTGAATGCCTAAAGAAAACCATAGATTCATGAGAAATCTTACCCCTCACCTTTTTGTCAATACCCCCCTTGCCTATTCTGTATTATTTTTTTTTGTAATTTCTACACATTCCAATTTCGGAATATTTGTTGTAGCATTTCTTAGAAGTGGGTATCACTATGCCTAACAGGAATAAGTTATTTTGACAGTTAAATGTATTTATATGGCGTTTATTTTATATTCAGTTAATAGACTCCAAATATAGAAGCATGTTTGTCTGCAAATGTAAACATTACGTATTTCTGGCAGAACACAACCTAATATGAACTTACTTCAAAAATTAAGCATGTCTAGACTTAGATTCTAGTTAATTTCCATCTCTTTCTGGATTAATCAGAATTATTTTCTACAATCTCCTGAACCACATTTGATATACGTTTTTGTACATATTTCACATCACCACCTGTGCTGCTTCTGTTTTCTCTTTATTCTGTTCTGCTGGGGTTTTTTCCTCAAGCTTCTTTTTTTCACTTAACTTTTTTGCTTCTCTTGCTTTCTTTTCTTTCCAGGCTTCAAAACATGCAATTGATTCCTCTCTTCTAAGCGCTTCTTTCTAGATTGCAAATAAAAGTCTACATTTAAATACACTTCAGTATAAAATTATAATTGAGGTAGTACGCTTTAAACTAATTGTTGATGGAGCAATAAAGAAACAGAAATTGATTTGACAACAACATTTCAAGTATTACTCACAATTAAATTTTAAATACATATGGCGGGGTTTTTTCTATGTTCATTTTTAATTTAAGTTAACTGAAACAAACTATTCCAGCAAAATATGTGTATAAGGATATGAAATACATGTTAAGTGCCTAGCAGTGAAATGTATTAAATACTTAAAAGTCAAATCAAAGAATGTGTACAGTACTATTCAAAATACAGTCCTCTGGAGATAAGCATCTCTTGAGGGAGGAAGTAAACCCCTTATGTTCTAATAGACAATATAAAATTTAGCACCTTAAGATTTGAGCATTTCCAAGATTTCCAAGGTCTTTGTAAACAAACCTGAAAATTAATCTAAGAAGCACACTTTTAACACACCTTATGTAAATGTGTAGGGAAACATCAGACACACACTGTTTGCCACAACCATAACAAGCAGGACATACCATTTAGTGTTCGAAATCACCTCGTGCTCTTTGGAGAAGACCAGATGCCTTACAACAGCAGACTGATGCACTCAGGCAGAAAGCACAGGCAAGCACACTTCAAAGAACTATAGTCTGTTAACTTCTTTTTAACAAGAATGTAAACAAACCTTTTCAGTATCGTTTCTGAGATTTGCAGCTTTCTCCTTTTCAGTTCTCTTTAATTCCATTAGAAAGAGCTTTTTCTTTTCCAACCAATTCTGTAAGAATCATTAAAGACTTCTGAAGTCCTTTTAAGGTGTAAGTACAGAGCAGCACCAATACAATGACCACCAAAATTACTCTTAATTCTTCCATGTGCTACTTAGATACTACCCCATGTGGAAGACTAAGCTGTTATCACATACACATTGAGATAAAAAAAAAGTCTAAGCTTCTAAAATCATAGCTACAAAATCTAAAAAAGCTTAAATATCTTAAAAAAAATCTTCATAGAAACACCAAAAAAATGTAAGCTTTAAACAAATTTAAAAAGAAGAATAAAATAAAGATTCTTATCACTTGGAATATAGGGATATTATTTACATTTGTTGTCTGTCTTGCAAATTCCTATAATTAAAGAGAATAAAACCCTACTGGGAAGAGTGAGACTTCAAGCAACCATAAAAGGTTATGAGCCATCTGCAGAAACAGACTTAAATTTTCAATATTTAACTATATTATTTGGTATACAGCTTAGAGATACAAGTGTCCTAAATGAAGACTATTTTACCTTTAAAATTATAGAGACAATATAAATTTTAATTTGAGGGTCTAAAATTTGTTCTAGGACCATAACAAGTATTAAAAACACATACCAATATGAACAGTTTCTGGATTTAAAGTTGTTCTCAAACAGATTAGTAGCAAAAGTCTGTTGGAACCCATAAACTAATCGTTGTGAAATTCTACATGGAATTTACATAGATTTTTCTTCTGGAGAGAGTACTAGATTTGTTATCACTTTTCCTGAATGCCAGATGAATAGAACATACCAGGAAAAAAAGAGCAACTTCAAACTACACACTCATGTTAAAGATGAAGTAGAAATAAAGGAAAATATGTGCCTGAAAATAGTCTGACACAATAAATTATGAATCACAGTACATCCCTTTCATATAGCTTTTGAGTTCATAATTTGAGGAAAAGTGATAGCCAACAGAATAAAAGGATTATTACACCTGTAAGCCTATGCAAGGAATATAGTAAGAAATATTGATTTCAAGAAATATGAGGTGTTGACTCCTAGATCAGGACCTTTCTATGCACAATTTTGTTTGTTGGTTTGTTTGCTCATTTTTAAGATTTACCTGAAAAACAGCTGCTCTTAAATTATCTGCTTTGTCAAATTCTGTTCTTTTCTTCTCCACGCATTTATTCTCCAACAGGTTTAATGTTCCCAGACATTGAGATAAAACAGGTGTAGCTGATGGAACAGCCTTCACCTTTGTCTTTAGGTGTACAGAAGATGGATACCTATGAAAATACCAGGACACAAACTCATTAATGATCTTTCCATTTATTGTGGCTGATACCAAGCAGTGTTCCCTTTATTTCAGTACATACCAAAAGTTACTGTGATTGGCTTTTTATATACACTTGACTGGGGACTGGGGAAAAGAAAAGGAAGAACCTTTTTTTTTCTGAGGGCTTTATTATTGCCAAAACAAGCCATTATGCAACATATCCAGGTCAAGAAAGTTTACAAATTTACACTTTCACCTAAAAAGCAGCTTAAAACCTATAAAGACTCCTGTAGCACACACACATCACAGACAATGGCAAAAGATTTGGGAGTCTGATTGGATATAAACCTGAGTAAGGGTCATAATAACATGCCTCATCCACTAAAAGGTTTTTCACAGATGGTCAGATGTTGTCAGCAGTGAATACAGTGCTGACAGAAAATAAGAATGAAGCAGCATTGTCAGGGCCCTTACATGCATCTTACACTGTGCAGAGTGTGATACCTAAGAGTGTTTCTTTTACCTGTCAGATAAAGAAGCCTTTGAGTCTTGCAGAACTCTCTCCTTTGTTTCACTTGGCTTCTAAGAAACAGAGGAAAAGTAGAAGTTATAGAGTCTCTCAAGCAACAGAACTAGATCAGGATGAAACAGATTTTTACAAGCTAACAGGGATGTTGAGAGTTGGGCTTGACCCTTACAAATCCCTTCCAACCTGAGATATTCTATAGTTCTATGATGTTAGAAAAATAGGCAAGAAAGCCACTCTAATACAGAGGGGGTACAGTACAGGGTAAGAAAGTAAGGAGAAAAAACAACCAACCAAACAAATCCAAACCAAGCAACCAAACTTTCAGAATGCCTGTATAATTTTCAAATAGCACCTAGAAATGTTTATTTGTATTACATAAAAATATACTCTGTAGTTTAGAAATACAAAGAAATAAAAAGAACCCAGCTGGGTAGTGGGTTTCCCTGTTATTCTATCAACACTCTTTTAGCTCTTTGAATACTTAGCTTTAATAATTGTATGTATCTACATATTTTCTTTCTTATGATGAAGCATAGAATGCTTTGCAACCTATCCCTTACTCAGGTCACACCAGGGATTCCATCCTCTGCCAACATGCACTGCTCACTGCAATTCAGTTAGCCTCACAATAGAGATCTGTTATTTTCACTTGGACAAGGGTACTTTCTTAAGACTGGAAAACACATGTCAGTACATTCTATACAACTATATAGAATTTGTAAGAGCCTCAGCTCTAGATAAATCTCAGTTCAGAGATAAACTGTCAGCTCTACAGATAGCATTTTCACATTTAAGTTACCAACAGTAACCTTACAAAACTTTCCACCATGCTTCTAGGACATTGTTCCACACAGTGGTAAAATGCTTATGAGTAATACCTTGACAGAGCTCTTTGATGCATTCTTTGCCTCCCTATGTTCAGATTGACCATTCATTGATATCTCCTGCATTGTATCAGTTATTATTTGCCCTTCTGCTACTTTCACTGTTCCATCTGAACTGTCAGCTGTTGGGTTCTCCAATTCCCTTGTCTTCTCATACACTGTGGTCATCATTTGTTCTATCACAGAAGATTTTCTATTGTTGTCCTCCAGTTTCAAGTCACTGGTGTTGACAGTCTTCTGATCTTGATCTAATGGGAGGAAAAAAGATTGAGAGGACACATTAACAAGAATTTCATTGTTTCTGAGTATTTTTATTTCTGTCCAAAAAACATCTGTCCATGAAAGTTTTTACTAAATTTTATACAGTATTTTCTGTATACTTCCTTCTAAGAACTACCTACTAATAAGAAGAGTATTCACTTGTATTTAAATGTAAGACTGGAGTAGAAACTGAAGCTTTAACTAATGTTAAAGAATGTGAGAGCATGACAAAGGCAAAACTTCCCATCTGCCTTATCATCCAAATGCAGTTCTACTGCAGAAACCAAAAGCAAGAGTCATTGCAATCACAGTAAGAGATCTTCTGACATCTAGCAAACTACTAGTGAAGTCTGCACCACACTTTGGGTAACCAAAACTTTCATTGTATGATGTTTTTCAGCGGTGTGGGACACATGAGGAAATAACAGAAAGATTCTGCAGTGGGGATTTACAGAAAACATCACCATTAATGCAGAGATATAAATTTGTAGAACAATTGAGACACAAACCAAAAAAGGCTCTGGTGAAACCAAATTAGTCTTCCACAATTTTCTGATAGAATTCTTAAAAGAAATAGAATTTTTGAATGAGAAATGAACTCCAAATTACCTGAAGAAAGGAATATCAATGCTCACAATCTACAAAATTTAACCTAGATTTACAATGGTGAAGGTAAGTTCAAGGTGACAAGGAGAATTCTGAATTGAAAATCAATATGCCATTATCACTGCACTACTTTGATTCACATGAAGACAAGGAGTAATTCAACTTTTTTTCTGCCAGTGTAAAACTACACAAGCACAACAGCCAGGACAGAGAGGTGTTGCACTGCCCAACTGTGCATTCAAATATCCAGCACTTTGGTGCCATCATGTGGAAACACAAAAAGGAGCTGATATTATTAATCATGCTCTAGCAATTTCAAAGTTGTAATCTTCTATCATGGCTAATGACCAGCCACAAATTTATCTCAACATCAAACAGGACAAATTCCTCTCATACTAGGAATTAGATATGAATCTGAAGATTAGAATGGAATTAGATAAGAATACGAATGGAATTGGATATGAATATGAAGTCTTTTGACATTTTATATCTGTAAAAGTTAATTAGCAGAATTCCAAGTTCTGCTTTGCAGATTAAAAATGCATTACCTAGTGTTATAACGAAACATTAAAATTTGGGGGTTTTATGTGTTTGACTATACATCCAAAGTGTGTCAGTATCTTTAAAGTAAAAGATCATTTGAAGTTTTAACTTTGCAATTATGAGAATCTACTATTCTGACATTCTGTCACATTACAGTTTCATGATGCTTCAGTATAACAACTTCAACATTGTATTTGCAAACAGTGTGATCAAACTTTCCAGGTCATAGAAAAGAGGTGGCTATTTAATGACCTTCCCATGGAAGGATACATGGAAGCTGTGGACACTATGCGAATATGGCTTTCTGAGCTGGGCACATACTGCGGAGCCAAGTCAGTAGCCCTCCCACACCTTTCATGGACATGCACTGGTGAAGAGCTGAACTTCAAGGACCTAAACAGCTGTTTTTCATCTTCTGAAAGGAAAACAGGAGCCTCCTGCTATTTGGCCCACAGTTTTTCTGTTTACCCCCTGACAGATGGAGGTTATGTATTTTTAGAAGCTTTGGCTGCAAGCCAAAGCAGCTGATCATTAACACAGAAAATAACCCGAACTAAAACACTTTAAAATACTGTAACATGGCTAAGCAAGTAGCAGCAACAACATTCAAAGCTTTCTTTTCACCTGATGCTGAAGCATTTCTTTGTTTGTGCAGCCGTGGCTTTGCTGTTGGTTGCTTTTCCTCTTGACTTCTTTTTTTATGTAGTTCATGAATAGGTAAGTCATCACTTTCACTATTATCACAGGGTACTTCTTCAGCAGCTGAAAGCACTTCATTATTTTTTCTGTCATTACCCTCATTTTGACCTTCCAAACATTCTTCTTTACCATCTTTTCTGTCATCTGGTATATTATCACCTTCTAAAACCATTATTTTCTTAAGTTTCCTTTCATGAAAGGATAAAGTCAAGTCATCAGCAACTTCATTTTCCAAATCTGCTAGTTTTTGTGAAGCATCATCATTCAAGAGAGGACTCTCAACAACAACGGATTTACCAGTGCTTGCAGCACCTGAATTACCTTCAGTAAGTTCTTCATCAATACCTGAAAAGGGTATATTATCAACTTGCATTAAAGATAAGTGGGAAAAAAAATGCAACTCAGAAGTGATATCTTCTATAACTTAAAACTATTTTTCATAACATCCTCCTGACTCTAGTTTCTGAGCATTTCTCTTTCTGTGCCTCTTATCTCTGCAAAGCCACCAGACTACAGCCTTATTTTACTTCCTTTCCTGTCATCTGTTTCCATGGACCCAACCCAAAGAAAAATATTCACTCATAATTCTTTTCTGCCACGCAATTCAAAACCCTTCTAAAAAACAGTGTCTCAACGCCACAAGAAGTGAAAGCAAGTCAACAACAAAGCTAGGCGTGTTTGGTATCAGAATCCATCCTCCCCTTCCCTTCACTTCTGTCCCATCTAAAATCTACTAGAAGATACTCAAAGAAGTATCTGCTCCAATGCTGAGGTTCTCATGTTTAACAAAAATATTTTGATCTTCCTGTTGAGGTCTGTTATGGCTAACAGGCTTAATTACAGAGTTCAAATGCTTGAAGAAGGTAACAAAAGCATGATAGTAACTTATTTACTGCTGGGGGAGCTTTTTTCTAAATCTTGTCAGCAAAGGGAAATCAAAGCATCCCACAAACTGTTAAAAGATGTTTTAGATGTGAATGAAAAACAGGACACAGAGGAAGTCCTTTTAAAACTCCTATTTTCCTTAACATGCAGTGTCAAATCAGGAAGAAAAAGAGTTATTTGGCCGATCTTGTTAGACTAAACATAAAGTAGTAGTGGGTTCACCCTGGCTGGATGTCAGGCACCCACTAAAGCCTCTCTATCACACCCCTTCTCAGCTGGACAGGGGAGAACAAATATAACAAAGGTTCATGAGTTAAGGACAGGGAGAGATCACTCATCAAACAACATCACAGGCAAAACAGACTCAGCTTGAGGATATTAAATGGATTTTTTACTAACAAAATCAGAGCAGGATAATGAGAAGTAAAACGAATCTTAGAAACACTTTTCCCCCACACGTCCCTCCTTCCTGAGTTCTACCTCCTACCCCCACAAAGACACAGGGAGGTGGGGAGTAGGGGTTACGGTCAGTTCATCACATGTTGTTCCTGCTGCTGGTCATGGAGAGGAGTCCTTTCCCTGCTCCAGCGTGGGGTCCCTCCCATGGGAGACAGTTTTCCATGAACTCCTCCAGCGTGACTCCATCCCATAGGCAACAGCTTTCCACCAACTGCTGCAATGTGAGTCACTTTTCCATGGGGTGCAGTCCATCAGGCACAGCCTGCTCCAGTATAGGTCCCCCACAGGGTCATAAGTCCTACCAGCAAACCTGCTCCAGCGTGGTTTCCTCTCTCCATGGATCTGCAGGTCCCTGCCAGGACCCTGCTCCAGCACAAGTTTCCCACGGATTCACAGCCCTCTCTCAGGCATTCACCCACTCTGGTGTGAGTCTCCTCCATGGGCTGCAGGATCTCTGCATCCCCATGGTCCTCCACGGGCTGCAGGAGCACAGCCTGTTCTCACCATGGTCTTCACCACAGGCTGCAGGGGAATCTCACCTCTGTCATCTGAAGCACTTCCTCCCCCTCCCTCTGCACTGATCTTGGTGTCTGCATAGTTGTTCCTCTCACATATTCTCACTCTTCTCTGGCCACAATTACATCTGCACAATAACTTTTCTTTCCTTCTTAAACATGTTATCACAGAGGCATTACCACCATTTCTGACCGGTCCAGCCTTGGCCAGTGGCGGGTCTGTCTTGGAGCAGCCTGGCATTTGCTCTGCCGGACACGGAGGAAGCTTCTGGCAGCTTCTCACAGAAGCCACCCCTGTAGCCCCTCTGCGACAAAAACCTGGCCATGCAAACTCAATACAATTAGCAAACATCAAATGCATCCTGGCCCAAGAAAAACAGCTAGATCAAAACTATTCATGGTTTGTGTACACTGCCAGGGAAGTATGCTCTGCAGTGTGTCCTGAAGCCATTATTCACTGATCGTCCAGACTGGGAAAACAGGAAGTAAAAAACAGGGCTTTCTCCCCGCTCATGTTCACTTTCATTCACAGTATGTGCACTACTACAGATGGCTATGGAGGAAAACTGGGCATCACAATGGTAGAAACCAGTACAGACTGTGTCTGGTCTAGCAGGTTGGCACCACCACTGATTTCATTGGGAATTCTGCTCCTAACTTAGAAGAGGAGGACTCAGTGATTTAGAAGTTCTTAAAATATGAAATCTTGGAACATTAAATCATATTGACTCACAAAGATTTGCTGGGCTATAGCAATGAGTCAAGAAGAGGAAGAACACAAGGAAAAACATTTAATTCTGTTTTACCATTTAACATGCCATCTTCATCACTCTCAAAGTCGTCCGAGTATTCATCTGTTTGCTCACTTGAGGCATGAGCAGAAATCGCTTCCTGCAGCTCATTCTGAAATGGTTTCACAAATAAATTTTGCACAGAAGGGAAAATTTAATTGAAAAAGTTCATCGCTAATTCCCCCCTCCCACACGTACATAAGTAAACTAAGCAACAGAGTTAAGCCTGTTTAGCTGATAATTATTGTGAAGGATAGTGCTTCTATTCTATCACCATTCCCCCAATATTTCTGTGTTAAAAAATCAATCCCAAATCTCCATGTATTAATTTATATTTCTTCTTCATAAGAAACATATCTTGCAAATCCCTTTTCTATTTCTGGCAATTATGACTATCATCATGTGACACTTTCGCCCCCTTTTGTATGTTTTGATCAGCAAGAGCACAAAAGAAGAGTCTGTGAGAGCAGGTGAGCACGGACCACCTCTTCACTGACTGTCGCAAAGCAAGAGCCTGAAGCAGGTGACACGCTCAAAACAATGGAAGAACTTCACGTATTTTGGACTCTCTGCTGCAGGACATCCTGAACACGTCACGTTTAAGTGGGTTCTTAAAGCCACTGGCCTTACTTATAGATGAAAAATACATCAAGAAATGCAGCATCATCTCCAGACTCACGACCCTGAGCCCAAACCACCGAAAGCTGGCGAGCGGGTGTTTTGACGCGGGTCTGAGGCGCTTCCCGAGGCACCTGCTGGTGGCCAGCGCTGCCTGGAGCGGGGCAGCCGGGCTGCTCCCGCCTCGGAGCCGCCGCTTCCCAGCCTGGGCACGGGGAGCCGCTCCTGGCGTCCACACAGAGGGAAGCCTGCTTCCCCGCTTTCATTTTGACAGCAGAGCGCATTTTTGTGAGTGTGCTGGCTTTAACAGCGAATTAGTGTATTGCCAGAGACAGAAACCGGTTCGCAGGCCCCACTCCCCGCAGCCTGTGCCCCCGCCGCTGCTCACCTGCACGACCCGGTCGGCCGCGCCTGCCCCCGACATGGCGGCGGCGTCTCGCTGCCGCTTCGCAGTGCCCGAGGCCGCCGTCCTGCCCTCCGAGAGCCCCGGGCCCGGCCCCGCCGCGGTCCCGCCCGTCGCCCGGCAACGGCCGCGCCGGCGAATCCCTTCATTAATCGGTCACAGCCGTGTGTGGCCGCAGCGCCGCTTCCTTACGCGGGCCACAGCCACGCTGCACCCGCGCCCGGCAGGGACCGGCTGAAGCTGACAGGGTTTATTGTCGATGCCCATGTCCTGCACATGGCCCTGTTCCCACAAGGTGCACCTCCATACGTGCATGGCGCTCGGAACAGGGTTAACACAGGTTCATCAGCCCCGCTCTTGCAGCCAGTCAGGTCACTGTCCAAAAACTTCCCGCCTGTGATTTGAGCGCTGTCCACAAGAAACATACTCGTTTCAGCGCTTTCTGGAATAAAGATCTCATAGCACCTGAGTGTTAATTTAAATGACATACATTGGTGTAAATCACCTGCTGCTTGCACCTCCTAATACTCCGACTTCTATTTCCCCAAAGGGTGGTTGAGCAATACACCTGGCAAGGCCCGGCCCCCAGGTGACCAGACACACTGCCAAGGAGCACGGGTCCCTGCAAAGCTGGCTGACCTGGAGGTCACCTGTCCCCTGCACTAGCCATGATGGAGGCACCTGAATCCCAGGGTTCTCTGGGAATATGGATGTCTTGCATCGAAGGAAAGCTGTCAACTTCATGATCGTTTGCAGATATGGACATTTCTATTCTTTCTCCAGGTTAAATGCTTCTGATCACTCCTTTTCTAAAATAAGATTAGTACTCCAGTTGTCTTAGTGACAATAAGGAACTTCTGACATGTTCTCTCTACTGGTGGTATATTTGCATGTATTAATATCTTCCCCAAAATGCATTGCATTTTTGTAAGTAAGTTGTACAGAAGAAAATCTCTCTGACAGAAACAGGGAGAGAATATGTAGGACAGAGCCTAGAGCCTTAGGACTTGTTTTCCCCTTGTTTATTTATGTAGAGTTATATTTTAAAAGCAATGCAGTTATGCAAAGGCCGCAACACACCTGGGGGAAAGAGGCCCTGAGTTCTAACAAGTAACCTTGGATTTAAACTAACAATTACCTGTCAGTGATTAATTGATATTTAGGTCTCGTCTGTGAGCAGCTCCTTGCTTTGTTTACCTGTATTTGTTTTTGACCAAATAATGCTTGATCTGCTGATTATTCATGGCATTTGACATTTGTTGAGAATTATGCTTGATGCATGTTTTTTTTCTTCTATTTTATTCACATGTGAAAGCCTTAAAATTCAATCTGTGCTATTCCATCTCTCTGTGAAAGGTGAAACCAGACATACTTGTTAAGAATTTAAAAAGGAATAAAGAAGAAATGAATATATTCTTTCTCTGTAATGATGTTAGTGTTTGCTGTTGAAGGCTAAATTGTGTCCCTTTTACAAACCACTGAGATGCACATTTATTCAATTCCATAAGGTGGCAGCAAAATATTTTAAAATTGAAAAATTGATTCTTTTTTTCCAAATATCCATTTTATTCTAGCTTCTTTTACATTACCACTGATATGTATGGGATTTTTAAAATTCATTTAGCCTTGCATACACTATAGAAAAGGAAGATTTGTCTTCAATTATTATGTTATTTATATGGGTCAGACAATGGGTCCTTATATCACCTGTATTATTAAATATTCAATGCACTGAGTTGATTGTATGTAGGGGGGAAAAAAGATCAGTACTGTCAGCACTGAAGAACTCAAAATACGTGAAGATGCTCTTGTCAAAACACATGAATGTCAGGTCTGCATCTTCTAGTCTTACCTGAGGCAAAAATCCCATCTAGACCCACTGAGGTGAATGGGACTTATGCTTAAATATGAATCTAGTGCTTTGAATATGAGACTTACTTAACAAAAAAAAAGCAAAACAGAAACCTTCCCAAACCGAAAAACAAACAAACAAAGCCCAAACCAAAACCAAACAAGCAAACCCCCCAAAACATGGAGGTTTATTGAGGACAAAAGGCAGAAAATTTAAGGCAATGTATATCTGAATGTGAAGTTGCTCTTTCTCTTTTGAGTAGAGATGGAGCATAGAGAAAAAGAATCTAAATGATCCCAGCAATTATATTAATTTGGCTAAAATAAGCTTAAAGGTAACATTCAATTCTGCTGAGCAAATGTGTGTGAGTCTCTGCCATGCCCAGAGTCTTAAAAAAAAAACTTTTTAAAACAAGCATCAGGATGCAGTGTGATTACAGTCTGCAGGAACCACGTTATATTCAGAAAGCAGTCAAGTATGGTTTTTTTGGATGGCTAGTTCATATGCTATAAACAACTTCCAAAAGTGGTTTATTTTATTAATATGGCTAGAGTTTGTAAAATGGGATTGGGGATTTCTTCTGAACAAATGACACATAGATTAAAAACTCTAAAATCATACACCATAAGTTACCTTAAGTCAAAATGTATAAAACCCCTTACTGGAGAGAAATATTGTTCTGCTTGCTTTAGTACTCCTTCCCATAGTCAAAAGTTACAATTGAAAGCAAATTTAACGTCATGAAAAAATCTCTGAGTTGGTGTACATTTGTGTAAAAGGTGATGTTTGTGTTGGTTGCCAGGGTCTCCACTCATAAGTGCTATTCCTGTTTTTGATATCAGTGGGAATTGGACATCTAGCTACAAGTGCATCTGGCTCTTGGATCTTGCATACGTATTGGTTTAGCAGACTTAACAAGTAGCTTTGATTTTAAATGACAAGCTCTTCTATCTATGGGCCACCATCATAGACATTTTTAAGCACAAACATTAAAAATTAATCTTCTCACATTTTCCTCCCAGTTCATATGAACCAGTCTGTTATAATGTATCATGTTTTGCAGGGTTATGCCTGTCTTGCCAAAATCTCCTGTTCTTTTTATGCTTGTATGGAAATAAAAGCAGAAATTTAATCAACTTCGTGCCTTTAGGGTTAGATGTGCCAGGGAAGTAACATTCCTTCTCTGGAAGTCATACTGTATAGATATGTCTGTGCTGGGCTTGACCTTTGCTATCTCAGGTGGTGAGAGCAGCATCACTGTATTGGGAAAACATTCAGAGCACAGAAGAAGCTGGATGCCTTCCTTGATGAGCTTGTAGCCTACCATGCATATTGTCCCACCTCAGCTACTGGGAAGCCCAAAGGTGCCCAAACTAGTTTAAAATCCCTCTGGATTAACTGCAAAAACAGCCATCCACCACCACAGAGAAATGAACAACAGAACTTCAACTATCTCCTCACCTATGTAATTTTGAGTAAATTACATTCTTTCTCAGAGAACAATCTGTTCAAACCATGACATTGTCAGTCTAACTGGGAAGGATTTGATAATTCACCTTAATTAACATAATTCATATGGGTGGTCCATTGCCAGTATCCTGGGATTATTCCACAGCTGCTCCTGCAAGAGTTGAAGAACTTAGCTTGCTCCTTCTAAAAATATCTTTGTACCTCTCAGTCACTCCTGAAGAGACAGATTTAGGTATATTTCTTTACCATCTGATTTTATTTATCTTTTAAACAAAAAACAAGAGTTAAACTAATGCTCAGTTCGAAGAGCTAAGCAGGTAAGATTTGGGAAATACCAAAACCAAGGATGTTAATGTATACTTCCCTCCTTTTCCTTTTGCATTTGAACTATTATGCAGTGTTTAATTAAGCAAATGAATTTAAATATTTATTAATTTTATTTACATTTAAACATCTTTTTCAGGATAAAAAGATACATTTCTTCTTTGTTTATATTTCTTAAAACAAACTGTCATTATTCAGTGATTAACGTAGCAGCTTGGTCCCCAGTACATAAAGGGGTTATATTCCAATAGCTTACAAAGTAACTATGTTCTTAATCAAAATAACTATTTATTTATCCACATCTGGGATCACAAACTGTCAGATTGAAACATCGGCTTAAAATTTAGCTTGGCATTTTCTTGATCATTCCTACAGAAAGCCTCATGATATGTGATATGGTTTGAAGCTGGCTCCCTGCCAAGTCTCCAAACCTTACCACAAAAAGTTCTCCCCCCCCAAACCTCAGGGGGAAGAGGGAGAAAAAAACAACTAAGAAAACCGAAACGAGAGAGAGACAGCTAAAGCAATATATATAAATATATTTACACTTATGTTACAGTTATATACAATTGAAATATATATACAATTTCACAAGGGAAAGGGAAGGGGGAAGGGAAAAAAGGAACAAAACCAAAATAAATAATATATATATATATATATATATATATATATATATATATATATTTCCCGATTAGTAGCCCAATATCTAGCAACTAAAAGAGTTAGCAAAGAAATATCTCACTACTCTCCTTGGGACAACTGAGAGTCACTCTGGAACGATCACCGGCAACCTCCGTCTCCCAAGGTCGGCAAGGCCTTACCAGGCCTCGCTCCCCAACACAGCAGACTCAACAGCAGGGAACCTGCACCTCCAAGCCGCCGGAAGGAAAGAGAGCGAAGGCCTCTCCTCCTTTCTTCTTATAGCCTGGCTTATGTAAAAATCGTAGGGAATACTGGGTAAATCTGGACCCTTCCTTGGTTACAAACTGGTCACCAAGGAAGGCCCAGACCAAACTACTACAATATGAAAACCAAATATTTCTTGTTTTACTGGAACTATATTCAGTGTTTTCCTACCATGTTCCCAGAAGAGAGCAGCTAAGTTTGTTATAATACATTCTTAATGCATTGAACATAATACTATGTATAAAATGTGGTGCCATGGAAATTAGATGGAACTCCCTTTTGTCATCAAATTCATCCTCTCACTTTTGCATCTTAATGCTGCTTTTTAAGTAGTTAGAAAAGATGCTGTCAGGGTAAGGAGATATGCAAACTTCACTTAGTGGATGGTTGTTCTCAGGCATATTATGAGGAAAGTTGAATTTGATAAAATTAATACCTACAGAAGTAAACATAGATATTGTAGGAATAAACTGCAAAACTGGACCAAAAGAAGGGAGAAACTGAGATGAATAAATTCACAACTGTCATTTATATGGCAGCTTATGAAGAATACATCTATTCTTGACTGGTTAATGTCTTCCTGAGCATTAGATTTAGAAGTAGCAGATCAAGGTAGATATCCCAAAAGAGAAAAAAAAAAAGGGAAAAAAAGTATCCTTGACTTTTTAAAGTTATTTTAATCTTTATTTTTTTTTTAAGCTGCCTTTTTTTGTTAATAGTATTTGATGTGATTTTAAGGAAAAGCATTGGAACACATTGGAATGAGACACAGCTGTCTCGGTGTGTCATAGAAACAGGCAACAAACTTTTCAAACAGACAAAGTTTGTATGTGTTGGTGACAGCAGATTAGACTTCCTGTACGGGGAGTCAGAAAATGCAAACGTTTTCATGTCAGGGGGTGTCATTTTGTGTACAAATGATTCAAGCTACTACTGTCCTTTGTATATGTCTAAATTCTTCTTTTAAAGTCTTGCAGATGTGAGCTCCGGGTGAATAAATATCTTTGAAAGAAATCTCACAGACCTGCAACTGAATTAAACATGTCTCACTCTTGAAATATCTCTGTGTCTAATCTTGTATTAATGCTATCTGGGAAAGCCAACAGCTCCTAAGTGCTGAGCAGTAACTCAGGCCTTTAATACTATGACACATTTCACAGAGAGGGGAACAAGGCTTGTCAAATTATCACCTAGTTTGAGAAGTGTCAGGACTCCAGCTGCTTCCACTTGCAGGATCACCAGAGAGGTGGACGCAGGACCCTGGGTTAAAGACTTGAACAATGTCCTGCAGACTTCCAGCCCCAAGGGACAATCATTAAAATTAATCAGAGAAAATGGATGCAGTAAAAGGGCAAATTAAATTGCTTTGTGGTCAGAAATATTGACTTGCTAATTCTCACTGACAACAATAATGTCTCCTCCTGCTCTTTACATCTATATTCCTCCCTTGTCTCCTTTTAATTTTTAGTACTGTTCCAGTTACACTAGGTCAGGAAGATTTAAAGGAGAGTAGTGCTACCAGGTCTGATTTTGCTACTGTTATCCTAATGAAGATAGAACTTTACTGGGCCAGTAGCTTCAGCAAGTAAGAGATGTATGATTACCTTACTTAAGTGTAGCAAAACAAAGGCCCATTGGAAGCACATTGAATGTATCACTTAATCTTTTTAAATTTAAAACTGACTATATAAGATAATATCTTTTTATATCTTTTAATGTATTGGCTTGTCTATCTATATACCTGTAAGAACTTTACTTCTTCCATATCTGAGCACTTACTAGTCTTCAAGGGAGTTATCAGCTTTCCCTGCTACACTGCTGAGAGAATTATTATTGCCATTTTGTATATGTAGAGATAAGG